TGGATATTTTGATAATGACTGATAACATGTCGAAATGCGTAAAAATTTTTAGTTTTCACGAATATACCATGCATGTAGAAAATAAACAGAATGTTGCAACAGTAAAACTTGAAAACGTAAATCATTCACAAAAGTTTAATTACCTATCCCAAAATTATATTTATACTTAGCGGCAAAAATTGGTTATGGGGACATCAAACCAGGCACAAAACCTTGGACATAGTTCTGCATATTTCGTTCGACAAATATCGCCTTGGAAAATAGGAGCAAGGGAACGGTGTCATACACCATTAAATCTGGTCTCATTGGAGTCATACGTCATCTAGCATATTCCAGCGTTGGAATATACTTTGATGTTTATGCGGTAGGACATAAGGAGCATCAGATCCTCGAACGTCGTTCGCAATGAGCACGAGGTGCATTGAATAAAATGAATAAAATGATGGAAGATGCATTTGGCAGTTCAAGTTTTCAGATATTTTGAAACCGCGGTCTGCTTAAATAGCGCTACCCTTGGCAACTAGGGCGATGGGGCGGTGCAATACGTTGTGAAAATAGTTCTGAATGAATTATGTTAATTTGGAAACTACAGCATATCATTATTAACGTCGCAGTCATGAAAATCACGCGGTACAATAACAATGTTTGGGCAGATATTCAGGCAGTGCGCAGAACAACAATAACAAGACAGTACAAGTTAATGGCTGAGATAACGTGACGTCATGTACATGCCTGAAGATCAATTCGCCTCCTTTGATGTGGGAGAAACAGCATGCCATTTAACATACTACGGCGCACGAACCCCTACTTTTGAAGGAGTAGTATACCCACGTCCTTCATTTACTTAAAGAAAAATGAGTGACGGATTGACAGTAAGAATTGTAAGTAAAGTTGCTTCGATTTTCTTAAACAAATTAATTTTGCAACTTCCGTCGGTTGGCAAAAAGCAAGAAACAAAGAACGTAAAAAGTTGTGAAAACAGGAATCTTGGCAGCTGATTGGTGATGGAAGTGAATGTCATTTGCAAATACAAAGATCCTGTCATTAACCTGCATTTTGCCTTGCCAAATATTCAAATGCGCTGCAAAACTGTAAAAAGTGAAATTACTAGCATGTACGTTACCTGCAGTACAGATGTGACATGACGAATGTGGAGCCCACGCGATGCCGTTAACATATGCTCTGTGATTGTTCAAACGAGCAACGGGAGTGCATGGAATTCTCATGTCGAGGATAACCACCTGAAACCAAGACAACGGTCAGCTATATATTTCTGCAGTATCAAATTACATTATATATATACATTATATATAACAATCATATCTTATTGCAATTCCGTAGAAAAGCCATAAAATTACAAACAGTTCAAGCCACACTGCAGCGGCATACCTAGAACGAAATAAACGATGCCTCTTGTTCAAACACAGTGACATAAAACCGCCTAGAGAGGAGTAATAACAGGTGGCTGTACTTCGGTTAACCTTATTAACGACGCTGCTTTGATATAAGGCAGACAACTTAACAATGGGAGATAGGCAGGTGAACCTTGAGTAAATGAGCAGAAAAGTGATTCGGTGTGGTCATACTGTTGAATGAGTGCACACCAAACTGTTACAATGTACTTCGCTGGCTGACAGTCGACCTACAAGGCGAAGCCCGTCAATAAAAAATAAGGATGGATTCCACTTTGTAAGATATGAAACATGACTGTGATGAAAATCAATGATTCGTCTGAATGCAATGAAAAAAATCAGATTAAGGGCAAGAACTCAGATCTGATCACTGGCAACAGTTATTCCGAGTAAAGCGGTCGAGTTCAGCCATTTGAAGAAGAGAAAATCACAAAGTCGTCCAAAAGCAACCATGGACAGAGCAATGTGCGGAACTCTGGAAGCAAGTATAGAAAAGTTAGCAACTGTAAAAAATTAACTACAAGAGATTAAGGACTAAAGAGTGGAGAACGTTCTCTATTTACCTCTGTCGAATCCATGGCGATGGTAGCAAGGTAGTTCGGGTCCTGCTTGTTCCAGGCTAGTCGCAGGAGGGGCGTTTGCGTAGCATCTTCGTAGATTATCGTCGAATGTTCCAAATGTCTGAGGTCAAACATACGGACACTACCGTCGGCTCCTAAAAGCAGAGAAAAAAATTCGAACCGGAACCTTCAAAGGCCAATCACTCACCGACGCTCGCGAACACATCACGATGGTTGGCAGATTTACTGAAAGCAATGTCGTACACTTCCTTGTCGTGCGCGATCAGCTGTGTTTTCACGTGACCATTCGCTCGACTGCTCACCTGGCCCATCACTTGACCCGTCTAAAACTGCCTCCATCAGACAATGAAACTATCCCCGGAAAATCGTTTAAAAGCAATCATTTTAATACTTTTACTAACTTGACCGCAGTCAATTCAACTGCCATTTAGAGCATTAGATCTACCATTTCATTATTTTCCATCATTTTTATCAGTGAAAAGACGAGAGCTAAACTATCTGGAAGATCTGTACACTTCGCAGTTTAATGTAAAGAAAGCAATACAAAAATTCTCCGCCTTTTTCAGCAGTAATGTTGCTTTAACGGAAAAATCTGTCCGGGTTCCATCCATATAATTACTCCTTGAAGGCTTGAAGGCTGTAATAGATGTGACAAGTTCTCTAAAATGAGCATATAGTCCCTTGCATACTTTTGTTTTTGTTAGACTGACTCGTAGTCCAACTTTTTTGGAATATTGCATACTATGAAAATAAGGGTTTCCAGGCCACCGCATTAGTTGCTTGTTAAAACAATGTTGTCCACATACTCAAAGTCGGTAATGTAAATCGCTGAGTACCTGTAACTTCTTCCTGATAGGATGTTAAAGTATTCGGTCTCGTTTCGAACGACACTCCTCTGCATGATGCATCAAACGGGATGTCGAACAGCTGTGGCAAAAGGACTTCACTTTGATTAAAGCTGGATGAGACACTGAACCACTCCACCACGTTACGGACGGCATATGTTTTTTCTTCATAAAGTCATTCCATTAGTCATGCCATCTTGTGACGATGGATAGTCTGACGATGGACAGAATCAAAGACGGCGATGAAGTCCAGAAATTTCAAAAATAAGGGAAACTAGAACCATCGGCATCGCTTGACCATCCGTTGTAGCAAGAATATGTCGTCAGACAATAACCACCAGAATCCCGCCTGGTTCGTCAGCAGAGACTGTTCCACCGTCAACGTCAGTCTGGTGAAAACTGTCCATGTGAAAACGTTCTTGAACGTGAGCAGCAGGATAATTCCTAGGTAGTTAGTACATTCAGACTGACTTCCGCGTTTGAAGATTCGGATGATCACACGTTCCATTCAGTTTCCAGGCATCACTCCTCGTTTCCATATGCTTCCGAAGACCTCATGAATCCAGGTGGTCACGCTTTCACTTCAGTAGTTCTGCACACAGTCCGTCGTGCCCGTTAGCCTTTAATCTTCTACACCGATGAAGAGCCCATTTCGGGTTTCCTCAGGCTTAGGGAATGTGCAAGGAAGGTTCAGTTGCAGCAGTGGATTTAGAAGCGTCCCCTTGTGAAATACAGATTCTTCAGCAGGTGGTCTTGTACCGGCCAATCCAGCATGCGTATCCTGTGGCTGACTGCTTCATGCAAATATTCGTTCTTCTTATTGCGTAACCAGGGTGAAACCCGCTTTTGCAAGCCACCAATGCCATTAGGAGTCGCCACTTGTTTGAACACAGTTCTCCGGTCTCCCACAGCTGCTGTGTTTGCTAATTCTACAGCATCTGTCTCCACCTACTGCTACTGGTAACCAAGTCCAGTAGACGACACGAAGCACTGTTGTTCATTTTCTGCAAATCGCATTTCTTGGTATAAGAAATTGAACCGCTTTGTGGACATGAACCATTCTTCGAAAAGGCGCAGTCGTAAACAGCACGCGGAATGGCGAAATCAACGCGCAGACTTTCAACGCCACGATCAATGGAGCAATGATAACGAGTGATAATGAGCGTTGTACTGCGTTGTTCTATCCACGAAACTGCGTTATTCTATTCTTATTTTATGTAAGCCATCGCCAGCCATGGATGCTGGCGAATCTACAGCAGCCAAGAAATGAGCAATCACGTGTCTTTCAAAAGTATTGTGCTTTTCCAAACTATAACCTACCTCTGTTACCTATATAATTAACAGAGCAAGCAAATAAGGTTGTCACTGCCTTCATCAATCATTCGTATGTCCCTCTTGTTTCATGATGAAAACGCAGTCGATTAAGTAGATAATTGTTCAGAAAATTCATTTACATATCTCTAGTAAAACACGGACATGGAAATAGAATTTCACTTAAATTTACCTAGCAGCCAAAAGCTTAAATGTACGTTAAGGACAGAAGTTTGAATGAGACCAAAATTGAACGTTCAAGTTATGACAAAAACAAGTAAATTGATTAAATTTACCCTCCTCTACCCAGTTCATACAAGACTAACTAAACTATACACTGACAACCACATTTTCTCACACCTGATATTTGAAAGAGGAAATCCATAAAATGCATATAAAAGACAGCAAAGACATTCATATGGTGCTGCTAAAACTGGAAAAAGCTTTCGATCGACTTCTGAGGCAGAAGATTTGGTAGAGCATGAGAAAAAGCTGATGTCATAAAAACGTGACAACTATAGTTCGAAGTACATGAGGATAAACAACACCATTCCCTTCATAGGGTTCAGTAATGAACCTATTTCTGTTCTTGATGACGACAAATGCGATAAATAAAGATCAACAGGATGCACCCCCGAACTGCTCAATGAACATGACATGGTGCTGAGCAGTGAAAACAGAAAATTAGTAGGGCCAAAAACCGAGGCATGGAGAACAGTCCTTAAGAAGAACGACCTTGGGCTAAGAAAAAGCAAATAAGAATGTATGGCGCAACATTTTAATGGGCACAGCCTACAAAAGAGTGGCTCAAATGGAGAGAGTTAAGCGGTGTACCGTGCGAGATACCAATCAAACTAAAGGGGAATGTGTATAGAATGATAGCAAAACTGGTGCTTCTGTACGGAGCGGAACGTTTGGTTACCCTGAAGAGACACGAGCAACAGCTGAACTAGGCTGAAATATGGCTGCTCAGATGGATGCGAAGAACAGGATCATATCCGAAACAGTTTCATAAGAGTCACTTTAGCCTTAGCACCAACTACAAAAAAGCTAAATAAAAGTAAGCCTCGTTGGTTAGGCTACTTTAAAAAAAGACTCAACAAATATGTGAGAAATGTGGTCGAAACACCGATACTGTCAGGGAAGAAAAGAATGGAAAAATCAAAGGGAACATGCGGCGACGTTGTAAAGAACGACGTGAAACTGTCAGTAAAGACAGAAGATACGGCCAAAGACAAAAACTAGGGAGGCACTCGACTGAATCAGTGGACCCCTGTTAAAGCAACATGCTAAGAAAAAGTAGGATATGCTTGAAAGAGAAACAAATATTTCAGCGAAACAAAATAAAATGCCACCTCTATGCCCCATATAGTGCAAGTGGTATCGATGCTGGCGGTTCCGATGATGCCGACATCAGTTTCGTTCCAATCGAATGAGGTGAGAGGGGCACAGAAGTCTGAACTTCGATTCTAAAAACGCTTTGCATCGTATCTGCCATAAAGTCAAAAATATAAACAAACAAACAAAACAACATACATTGTTCAGAACGCACTCCAAGGTGCTCGTATCACCGTTAATTCGAAAGAGACGCAGATAATCGGCACTAGTTGCAAGAAGATCCGTGTAATGGCCTTTCTGAAATACAGTACAATGATTATGAACGAACGTCAGCAGTAAAAGGGAATAGAAAAACGGCACACGAATATTGGTTAAACAGCTAAACTTGGATATACAAAACGGATAGAGAGTAAATAGGCTTCTGGTAAAAATTACAAATGCGCAGATACTCGATCGTAAACGAGTGAAGGTAACAGAAAAGAGCTTCCAAGGTTGAGAAGGGGCGATCGATCGGGACCGAAGAGTGAACGGGGCATATAAAAGATGGATCATCCGACCGACAATATTTGTACATTGTGCAGAAACGGATTGCACTGTTTCAGTATTTGTATAAGTGCGGCGTTTATTAAAATATAATCAAGGTGAGATTTAATTTACTACTGTTTATTCCGTGACAATATGAACGAACATAACGGGAGGAGAACCACTCTGGGTGCAAGGTAGGCATGATGTATTCTGCTGCCTGCAAGATAATGATCTAGCTGCCTTGCACTGAGCGGTCACTAATGTGTAAATCTGGCTTAGGCTAATATAAATACGATATTTCGGATATTATCGATCGATTTTTCCAATATTTAGAAACAGTGATAATGGGAGATACATGAGCTAATACATGAATAATACATGAGCTAATAAGTGAATCATTTCATTGATGCTTATTAGTGCACAACGTGTAGGGGAATAATGGATTAATGGCTGGAGAATCATCCCACGGAGTCAAAGGTATTCTTAGTTCCTCTTTGAATACATCGCATCCCCGATTCTCTGCAAGAGAATAACCGTACTGGATTAAACTATTTGTCATACGTATTGGGCCGGCTCATCAGACTGTGTTATTGCCGAATGTGGCTAATTTATCTGACTGAATCAGTAGTCTTCCTGCGGACTACCACTCTTTAAAAAACACATTAGCTAATAACTTTTAAACTAATAAAATGGCATAACGGGTTTTCACAAAGCAAAGAAAATATTTATTACTGTAACAGTACTTCTGCAAATGGCCATGACGAAAAGCCAGCTAGCCGTGATGAAAAGCATTACCATGATGCTGTTATAGTTAAGTGATAATCCATCCATACTAGATCTGAAGCTGATTCTCCGTCCAGTTCAATGCGGTAACCTTTCGCTAATGACTTATTGTTTGAGTATGAGCGCGCCGCGTTTGACCTAGACGCCAGATTATCAGTGGACCATTAATCGAGTTATCTTGGCGAAGGTAGTTAAGTGAGCAGAAGAGAAGTTCGCCGTCGGGGCTGGGATTTTTCTGAAGCGTTTACAATTGGTCGCTTAACATCTTGAACGTCTGTTAACTAAAATACTACTAAAATACTTACTTAAAATACTAATTACAACAAGACAATAAATTGTGACATCGATTACTACACAAAATATTTGCAACAAGACATTTACGCATACTATTAATACATTTTCGCTGAACCTAATGCAGCCTTGATCTCCGCATACTGATTGTGACGTTAAAGTACAGAGCAAAGGATTTAAAATCTGACGTTTAGGGTTTCTCTAAAAGTGACTCTCCTGAATAGTACAAGAATATACAAATGTTTTACTTTAAAAGCTTTTATGATAGTAAACATCGATGTCACAATTCACTGACTAGCTGTTTCGTGCAATAAGTAAATAAACTTTCGCAACGTGAAATTCACGAAGTGAAGCTTGCATTAATAATAATGACCGGGAATATCACCGGAGCGAATTTAGCGACGAGAATCGCATATCTGGCAGCTTGAAACGGCCGCTGCTGCAGGGCCTTACTTCGTGATCAAGTTTCGCAGACCACTCACCTTTCTTCTTGATAAGACAACCAAAAGGTGTACTAATTTATGGAAAGGAACACTGTCATGATTGTGCTTAGATCTGTGGGCTGAAATTATTACTGTAAATTACAACATTCGGTATGCTCATTCGTCATTTAGTAAATTCTCCATGTGAAGTAACAGTTGTGGCTAAGATGGTTTGATTAATGAATGTCCCACAGCTAAACAGCCGCACAGTCAAATTCAGCCCACTGAGACTACGACAACAGGCGACTAAGTGGTACTAGCGAAAAATTATCACTTTGAATTGAGCAGCGAATCAGATTCAGTTCAAACCAGCATGGATGGATTACCACTCTAGATGGTAACAGTGCCACAAACACGTATTTTGTTCAAGTGACAAGAAAATGCTGGCTAGTGCAAGAGCGCTAGTTTATCCGTACCATCGCCGTGATGCCATTTTGAGCATCCATGCGATGCTATTGCTCAAATACCACAAAGCCGTTTTATTTTCAAATGGTACCTTAAAAGAGTCTGGAAACAAGAACATGGTGGATGCTGCTGTATAACACGGTGTAATGGCTGATACAGGGCAAATTAAACCATGCTGGCCGTAATATATAGTTTTGTGAGATGCAGAGTGACGAATGTATCGGCGTTGGATATGTAAAGATGAGAAAGATGCTGCCTGCAGACGATCTTGTTTTGTAGGCATCTTCTGAAACTGATTTCCAGGCTCTGTCGAAAGATTTTCCGCCGAGTGCGACGTTTCCAGCATGCGTGATAACGCTTCTAAAACGAAAAGCACATGCTTTCTCCTTTGCCTGTCCGTTGCTATCCTCAGATAAACGGAGAATCAGTGGAACGGGTAGAAAAATTCACATATCTCTGGTTCAGATTTACCGCTGAATGAAAATGGGAGAAAAAAATTGACCGGTGGATCAGGGTGGCCAGTGGCGTTCTGCTTAAACTGACCAGAAACGTGTGACTAAAGCACAGCTGAGCCTGAAGACTAAGCTCACTGTGCTCAAACTGATCTGCATCCGGTACCAACCTACGGCCATGAATCGTGGACCGGGACCGAAAGACTTCTATCCCGAGTACAAGCGGCTGAAATGGGCCTTCTAAAACGAGTCGCTGGCCTTACGCTTCTCGACATGGTCCGGAATTAAAAAATTCGAGACAGCCTACTTGCTGCTTCTTCATATCGAGAAGTCACATATGCGATGTTTGAGCATGTTCGTGAAAGCTTCCAGAAAAATGCGAAGTAGCTATTACTTACTAAACCGAACGGCCGAAGACCCTGGAGATGGCCAAGAATAACATGGGAGAAGTGTATGAAAGGACTCGGTTTTACACTCGGGTTATCTTGTGCCGAAGCTCAAACGTTAGCACAGGATCGTGAACGTTGGAGACGTGTCTGTGACGCGTCTGCACCCGTGACCCGAAAGGATAAGCAAAAAATTACTAAAAACGTGACATCAAATAAACTTTGTTTCATCAAAGAATATATGGAGTTCATTTCGCTGCACTTTGTTCAGATTTTATTAGAAGCATTTTTTAAACAGATTTTGATATCACCTGAATCACATAATCTACAATGAACAGCGCCGGCCGCATCAATCTGTACTATCATAGCGCATTAAGTTTAGCCATCCGTTGGTAAGGCTGAACATTTACTTTACCTTCTATTTCATCGTCTATTTTAGATCTTAATATAAAAAACCATATATCTTGCCATGTCAGGAATCCACATGATCTTCGTCGCAGGATACGGATGATCGAACTGAACCAAAGTCGAGAATTCGGCTGCGTCCTCGTCCAACTGCACCACTTGGATCTACAGAACAGCAAATTAGTAGTCATTCTTCTATGGACCTCATAGATCGGTCAAAACCATGGGTCATACTTTGTTGCTGTACTCTTCGATGAAGCTGCCGAGAGCGAGACGGAACTTCTTGTCCGGCCGCTGGCTCCAATTCATCGCGTACAGGTTCCATTCGGACTCACAGCGGTAGATCTCCTTCCGCTTTTGTTGCGGAGTCTGACCAGCGGTACACATCGTTTAATTCGCGCAGTCACTTACGCGTCGACTAAAAGTTACATATAAACAAAACCAGTAAAATCAAATTCTAAAAAAAAATTTACCATTAGCACTTGTGGCTTGGCGGCTGATGCCTGGATTAACAGCGACGAACGCACTGCAGCCGCTGAGTCGAGAAACATCGTTTCGTTGACACGTCACGTAGTCCAGCCGTTTTAACGGCACTCAAAAACAAGTTGTAGCACTAAACAACAAGCGGAATTTTCAACTCAAAGCAAAAACTAAATAAATAATTAAAAGTGATTGGCACGTAAGA